TTCACAGAGGCCTAGCAAAGGATCAGAAGACCAAAAAAGGACAAATGTCATTCCTGTCTCCAAAAATACAGGCAAATAGGAGCAGTCTGGGAGGTAGTCTGCTTAGCATCAATTCTCAGTGAACAAAAAACATCTTTTGCAATTCCCTAGAAGATAACTAGAGGAAAACAACAGCAAACATGGATTTGTTAAGAGCAAAGCATGCCAGATTAGTCTAACTTTGGCCTCGAGACCCACTAGGCTATCACAGTACAGGAGGACGCAGTAAATGCATCTTGATTTTAGCACCTCCTTTGGTCACAAACTGTAAAGCAAGCTAGAGAAACTACAGGGATTTATCCTGTGGCATTTTTTTTTTTTTCAGATATTAACTCAGGTAAAGAAACAGGAACATTCCTAAATGAGCTGCTAAGATTACCAATATGTTGGCTAAGATTCTTTGGATTTGGAGGTCTTGTACTTGCAGTGGTCCTGACTAAACATTCACCAGAGATGTCTTCTGTGCAGCACTCACCGTGAGGCAGAAGCAGCATTCTTGGGCTGTGGGACTCAAACCAATCTTTTCTTTGTACAACCTGAACAGTGCCTGCTAGAGTCACTGTCCCGAGTTTCATTACAGCAAACCCAACTCTGAGTGCCAGAAAAAACCCAATCAAATTCTAGCACCAAAGAGGAAAGGGAAGTATTTTGTGTTAAAAAATACCAACTTTTGTGGCTGGAAGATGCGGTTCTGCATCACATAAAGCTAAAAGAGAATCCACGTCCCAATGCATCACTCCTGTGAAAGCTGACAAGAGATGAAGGTTGTGGGACATCAAAATGTACAGCTTAGCAACAATACAGCCATTGTAATAGATCATGTGTGAAGGCCAGGGAAGGCTTACCTATCAAAGAGGGAAGACCAGGGTAGGAGAAAAGGCAGCAAAATGAGAGGTTTATGTTTTCTTTAAAAGATGCTCTCAGGAAGAAAAGCAACATAGATATTAGATTATTCTTACAATAACTGTAACAGTGATAACTACTTTGCTACTAGAAAAGCAAAATGGTGCCAAAGACTCCTGTCTCCTTCTTGAAGGCAAGTAACATCTAAAAGCAGGCCTCCAGCTGGGAGCCTGGAAAGCCATCTAGTGATGCATGACACTCTATGATCAAAAGCAAGAACTCATCATTCTTCTGCTTCACTGGGGTAACACTGAAGGTAGTAAACTACCTTCTGGTATGTCTCAAACATACTGTGCAGCAAGAGCTATGTAGATCAGAGAGTCTGAAGGGGGTATGTGCAATGCTAACTAGGCTCCTCTCTGAACAAATTAGAAGTCCATTATGGGGTATAGAGGAGAAAAAGAGATACCCTGTCCAAGAGCTTGAGTTCACACCAATACAGAAATGCTCCACAGTTAGTCACTGGCATTTGTAGTACTGCTGATAGGTAAGATTTTCTTCCCTAATCACCTAAGCACAAACAGCCCCTTATCTTTACTTCATTCACTTAGATTTTTTTTTTTTCCCCATCAGCAGCTGTTACAGTTAGGAATGAAGGTCTGAATTGGAGAAAAAAAAGTCTACACAGGCTGGGATTCAACCACTGGCCACTTGCGATCTTAAATGATTTGGCTTTGCAACAATGAGACTACAGAGAGATTATCAGTTGAAGATACTGATGTAACAGCTAACCCATGAAATTTGCTGACACAATGTGAGGCCTGATTTAGTAAGATTTAAGATATAACTGAACACTTACATTGATAGCAACAACTTCTAGAGCTTTGCTGACAGGACTAAACCTAATTCATATTTTATCAGGTCATAGACCAACAGCTGACTGACTCACCTTAGATTAAATTTTCCTACTGACAGGTTATGCCATAGCTGGATTTCTCAGAATTTTATCAGTAACTCCCTGGAGTACCTGTTAGTTGCCATTTTTAAGAGTGTTACCAAAGGAACAGACTTGATGAAATGACTTTCTATAACCCTGGCTTAGAGACCACTGAAGAACAGTAAATCAAGGAATTTGAAAATAAGCTCTTAAAAGTCAAGATACCCAAAACATAATTAATCTCTCCAACAAAATACTACTTTCTTCTTAACCACATGTCTATATATTCTAGTTGTGCACTAGAAATATGTATGAGAATTATAGAGGAACTTTTCCACAGCATGATAAATCCAGCATAACTATGCACTACAGTGAAACAAAGCTGAAACCACAGAAATTACATCTTCTAATAACTATGACTGCATTATCAAATGCTTCAACATCAAAACTATAAGGGTAACAGTAGATATATACTGCTCAAGCTTGAAGACAAACACATTTCCAGCTTGAAATTTGAATATTCCTCATTAGCACACAGCAAATACATGATCTGCTCCAAGCTGCCTGCCATAATAGCTGAACTACTCTGAAGTCCAGTCTGGCAACATGAACAGCATAAATTAGGAAGACAGCTTTTTTTTCTTCAATTCTTTTGAAGAAGCACTGAAGTACCACTTCAATTCAGTGCAGTTCTTTTCAGATAGACCTAAGAGGGCACTTACAGTGAGAGAGGAAAGTGACAAAAGCTCACAGCGTATTGGACTTGCAAATTTAAAATCAGCAAAACAACTTAAATTAGTACTGTTATCTGGGGGTGGGCGGTATGAAGTTACATAACCAGGACTAACTTTGGGCTTCTTGTTTTTTAAATTAAAACATTTAAAGAGTAATGGGAAGGAAGTACATTCTTAGACCTATCACATCTAAAGGACATCAGGTAACAGTAACCAGGTGACAAAGCACCTAATGAGTAATCTTGACCTGACAGGCAACTCAGAGGTGGCAAGGAAGTTCATGTCAGAGTGAGTATTAAGATATAATAGAGCCAAGTTCCCTCAGAGCAGATTTCTCTATTACACAAGATAAACCAGAACCCTTTGCTAGAGGAATGAAGGCAGGGGAGGGTGGGTACCTGCTAGGATATTGAACAGATCCCGAAGAGCCACCATGAGTAGCTGGAAGAATAAGCATATACAAACCCTCTCAATATTTTTCAAGGAACTTTGTAGTTCTTTTCTAAAAATAAAGAGTGGTTTGAGGCATCTTTGCAAGATCTGCATGTTGCTTGCTTTGGCAAACATATTACAGGGACAGTGTAACTGTTCAGATTTGAAGCCTTAAAAACCTAGCAAGATTTAGGTACACATAAGTGAAATGCAATCAAAGCATCTGAAGGAATGGAAACACCCAACAAGCTCATTGAGTATGCCATGTCAAGACTCCTTAAGTCTTCTATATGGTTAAATTTCAAGGTAGTCTTATACACAAATGAATTCTGAAACAAAAAAATATAAGCAGAAACCTTACCTCTGCCTCACAGTAACACCTAGTAGGAAGCAGACAGTAACTAAGTAAAATATCGGTTATGAACATTTCATATGGGATAACAGGTTCTCCCTCTTTTCCCTCTCACTCTGCCTCCTCAACAGAAAGGGCAAAATTGAGGTAATTTGCACACTATTAGCTGTCCTGACAACTAACTGAAATATGCCTTAATTTCTTAAGTTTAACCTTAAGAATCCTAGTTATGAAGTAACACAAATATTCCTGAAACTTGTAGTTTACCCAGACTCCCCACTACATACATCAACTTTTTGTGTACTAGTGTATGTTTTAGCTTGAAATTCTCAGAATAACAACTCCGTGGTTGAGGGTAACAGAGTTCAGTTGCTGCAAGGTCACAGACAGCACAGATAACACCAATTAATCGAAAGCTATCTTTCATCTTCTACATACCCTATCTGCTCACAAGCAACTGACACCCATTCTGGAAAAAGTGTTCCATTACAGAAACATTGCATACCATTCAGGATTTGGATGATATATGAACATGAGCATGATTTTCATGAAAAAGCCAATTGTCCAGCTAAGGGAAACAAACATTCACTAAAATGATGCAACATTAGTACTACTGTTATCACATTGTTTTAATAAATAATTATTCGAGTCATTTTAAAAACAAGACTACAAGCTACATAAAAATTTAGACTGGTGAGGCAAATAATTTAAAGACAGAAAACTTTATGAAGGAGGTTGCCTACAACCACATGCTCACCAAATATATTCCTACCTGACTTGGCCGACTGCTTAGGGTATCTTCCCAAATACAATCAATTGCTCCTTTATTTCGATTTTGTAACAGAATTGGGGGGGGGGGAGGCAAGTTCCTGTTCCTTATGGTGACAATGAAAATCCCAAATGTGTGAAGCAAATTTAACCACTACCACACCCCACCAAAGCTGTGTAAATACCAAGGCGGAGGGCTGACATACATACTCTAACTAATGTTCAGGCACCTATGCGGTTTTTTTTTTTTTTCTCTTGGAGAATACATAAGTTTGTAGCCTGTAGCTACATTTAAAATCGGAAGATAATGCTCTAGGGAAAAAAACTAAAGACCAAGGCTGAACAACCTCCACTGGTACCTCAGCGCTCGAACGACCACCAAGACACGGACCAGCCGCTGAAC